ATATATATATATATGTAGAAAGAAACTGGAGAAATACAAATTTTTGGTTATCGGAATTACCGACTAAACAAAAATCTACCCACCCCAAACCACAAAACCAACAACACCGAACACCAGCCCCAGCCACCATGACGTAAACCTCACCTCAGCAACGCAATGTCGTATTCGAAATTCACAGAGTTGAAGAACGGATGCTGGATGACCGTCTCGACTCTGCTGTTGACGAACGCGTAAGGTTCATCCACAGTCTCCAGGTCGTACTCTCCCAGGACGACACTCACCTGATTGGCCTTCTGTCTGGGGGGGAAGGAGAGGGTATCACGGGTGTTGTGTGTTATTTACTGGCGTTTCCTCTCCCCCATTCTCTCTCTCTCTCTCTCTTTCTCTCACGGGTGTTGTGTGTTATTTACTGTCGTTTCCTCTCCCCCCTCCATTCTCTCTCTCTCTCTTTCTCTCGTAATAACTTCGTATAGCATACATTATACGAAGTTATACGAATATATATATATATATATATTCGTATAACTTCGTATAATGTATGCTATACGAAGTTATTACGGGATGCTGGATGACCGTCTCGACTCTGCTGTTGACGAACGCGTAAGGTTCATCCACAGTCTCCAGGTCGTACTCTCCCAGGACGACACTCACCTGATTGGCCTTCTGTCTGGGGGGGAAGGAGAGGGTATCACGGGTGTTGTGTGTTATTTATTGGCGTTTCCTCTCCCCCATTCTCTCTCTCTCTCTCTCTCACGGGTGTTATGTGTTATTTACTGTCGTTTATTGGCGTTTCTTGATGGATTTTTGTTTCTTATGATTGTATTGCATTTTGTGTATCAATTAATGATGTGCTATCATATATGTATAACATCAGTATTCTCTGTTATTAAATGATCATTCATGTATTACTTGTTTTGGTTATCATGTCTTACTTGATAGAGAGAGAGAGAGAGAGAGAGAGAGAGAGNAGAGAAGAGGAGAGAGAGAGAGACTGACAGAGGACAGACAGACAGACAGACAGAGACAGAGAGAGAGAGAGAGAGAGAAAGAGAGAGAGAGAGGAGAGAGAGAGAGAGAGAGAGAGAGAGAGAGAGAGAGAGAGAGAGAGAGAAGAGAGGAGAGAGAGAGAGAGAGAAAGAGGAAAGAAGAGAGAGAAAGAGAGAGAGGAAAAAGAGAAATAGATGGTTGATGAACGAGCATTGGTTTGGGCGTTCATCCGAGACCTGACGGATATGTGCACTTACCTGTAGGTGCAATGCGCCGCTGTGACGACCCAGTTGCTGGTCAGGAGAGCGCCGCCGCACACGTGCATGTACGTGCGCGCGCGCCACACTCTGATGGATGCCTGAGAAAGAGAAAGAAAATGATAACCTTTAATGTGTATACACACACATACTGTATATATACTATTGATGCGGTTACAAGCCTATATTGTGAATAATTGTATTTCCGTAGATGAGCTGTTCAGAAAATCCCTTTGTGTATATGTAGGAACTCAGATCTCAGATATTACTTTTTTATACCTCTTTCTTGACCCCCCCCTCTCTCTCTCTCTCCTCTCTCTCTCCATCCCCCTTCCTCTCCCTCTCCCTCTCTCTCCCCTCTTCCCAGTCTGTGTGCATATAGGTTAATATTTTATGAGCGATTGCACTGAGTTCACCAATTTATATACATTTTGGTTGTGTTAGCGATGACAGTATACAGAGGGAAATGAAATGAAACATATTCCAATTTTCTGTTCGTTATAAAATTTACGGTAGGCGTAGCGGCCTAGGTCAACATACCGTTTCTTCCGACTAGGATAAATAAAAATCTATACTTCTTTATGAATTATAAGTTCCTCTCTTCTTAACACAGGTACCTAAGGTGTACCGGCTCGGGAAAATTGTCCCAAATTTGATTTAGTGTCAAAAGAATCTGAATATTTCACGCAAAAAAAGAATCTGAATATTTCACGTAATTATTAGCGGAAATTTCATTACCTTAAGTACAGCATCTAGTGTGAGAAAGTTTTAGAAGTGAAAAATGTGTGAGATTGTATGTAAAGTGGCGGTGTGTGTGTGTGTGTGTGTGTGTGTGTGTGTGTGTGTGTTTGTGTGTATGTGTGTGTGTGTGTGTGTGTGTGTGTGTGTGTGTGTGTGTGTGGTGTGTGGTGTGTGGGGTGTGTGTGCGTGTTTGTGTGGATGTGTGTGATGTGTGTGGGTGTGTGTGCGTGTTTGGTGTTGTGTGTGTGTGTGTGTGTTTGATGTGTGTGTGTGTGTGTGTGTGGTGTGTCGTGTGTGTGTGTTGGTGTGTGTGTGTGTGTGTGTTTTGTGTGTATGTGGTGTGGTTTGTGTGTATGTGTGTATGTGTGTGTGTTTTGTGTGTGTGTGTGTGTGGTGTGTGTGTGTGTGTGTGTGTGTGTGTGTGTGTGTTTGTGTGTGTTTGTGTATGTGTGTGTGTGTTTGTGTGTGTTGTGTGTGATTGTGCGTGCGGGCGGCGCGCGCGCGCGCGTGTGTGT